CACGGATTCACAACTCAAAATACCTTCGCCGACATTTTATCTACATGCAGGTTCCGTCTGTACCCACCGAATTCTGCTCCAGAAGCTGATGGTTGTTTTCGTTGAAGAGTTCCCCGCCTTGTATGAAACGACTAGGCCCTTCTTATAAGTCATTTAAATCCAATCTTAACCTTTAAAGTCAAGGACTTTTTAGAAAAACGCGTTTTGTTATCTGTCTTCCGATAGAAAGATTCCGTTTATGTTTTCCGATGGAATTTTCCGTGCACTCTTGTATCTTCAGTGCATGCTAAATGTCCTGATCTTCATGTCTTCTACATTTTGTCATCTTAATAATATGTGTTGAAGAGTAAACACAGTTAAATGCATTCTCCTGTTACGATCTCTCGTTCTTTATATACGCCCTCTATCTGTGTTGTTGCTTTAGAATTTTACACTCGTATTGAACAGACTAAATTTTACTTTTGTATATTATAATCTTATGTGTTTTGATTAGAGAGACGGAGAGATAAACCTGTTATGAAGCATTCCTCGAATTGAATTTCCTATTAACTTGCTCGTTAACCGAAGTAAGGATCAAGCACCAAGCAACCCGTTTTTAGTCCCGAATGGAAGTATTCATATTAAAGCTAAGTAATTCTGATTCTCTGACAATTCGTTCTCATTAAAATTCAAAGACTACTTATATTGATAACTGCTTTAGTTGCTGATTTCACGTACAAAACCGTTCCAAAAATCATTTCTCTGAAATCCGTACGTTAGATGTTATCAAACTGTTTTGCTGTCTGACGTACGACTTAGGAAGTAGGTACTTTCCTGTTGTTTACTGGAGGGGGGGGGGGTTGCTTCTTCTTTTGAAATTTTCCATGGCTCGTGGGATCTGCATTATTATGGCAAAGATAGAGGGATGGGGCAGGAAAAAGAAACTTCATACGGAAAATGAGACGTCGTTAGGGATAAAGTTTTCATTCTACTTGTAACATCCTTTGTACCGTGTCTTTAAATTAGGTTGTTTATTGAATGGGAAAATGGGCGCAACCCCTAGAATGAATAGATGCACGCCTCCGCCATGTTCTGTGATGGAAATATGCGCTATTCTTTCGATTTTTGTTTTTAAGGAATGTTTTTAACACATCTCTTTTCTCTGGTACCTCGTTACTTTCGAATGACATACTCGTTTGTTTGCAAGGGGATGCTTGCAATCTGGTATCAGATTTAACGACCAAACGGAGAAAGAAACAAAGGACTCGCATTGAAGCCAAGCTGAATATGGCAGTGTTCTTCTATCCTTGGGGACGGAGACAGTGCACTTAGTTCCGCATGTTAGTATACTGTCCTGTCGATATACGGTGAAGTTTACGTGAAAAACTTCCCTTTATCTCACACTTTTGCGTGGCTGTCGATTTTTTGGACGTAAACTATCTTCGTTTGTTTAACGAAGCTGTGTCAGCTACTAAGATTATGGAATGACAGGATAGTAATGAATAGCAGATTGGTAAGGATGTGAAATGGCGTTTTTCATTCTAAGATGTTGCGGTTCTATTTGCATTGAGTGCCTATGTAAATCCTTGAAGAATGTTGAGATATTCGTCGATATTTGAACCTGTGACCTACAAAATACGATGCGAGAGTCCCAAAATATACACCACGTCGCTCGGTTTGGTAGCAGGGCTGCTTGACTGGCAGAAAGGTTAATTTTCGTCTTAGATTTTACCTGTTTGTCTGACGATAACTAAAACCAACTAATTCTCTAATAGTACAGCCCCAAGTCTCTGTTGCTAATATCGAAGCCCATCACCCGGCAGGTACACACCAGCTTCATAACCTATCTAGTAACATGTTACTCTTCCATATCGTCTTCGATATTCCAAGAGCCTTTCCCACAAAATTTATTCTGTATGCATTTTTTGTCTCCCTTACTAAATTCAATTCTAAAGGGTTTTGACGACGGTAGTTTACACTTAAAATTATTCAATGTCAGGACTTTTTCCATCGTCTGTTCTTTAAAATCACGACGTTTCGGAGGTTGGTTCAGTCTCCGAAACGTCGTGATTTTAAAGAACAGACGATGGAAAAAGTCCTGACATTGAATAATTTTAAGTGTCTCCCCTACCTAGCTACATGTCGAGTCAATATTTTTTTTATTATTTTGCATGTAAAACTGTGTTTGGGTGTTGATGTTTGTGTATGTGCGTCGTAGAAGCTGAATATGAAGATAACTTGAAGTTCCTACTGCCTTCCGTGATCTCTCTTCGTGTAGTTGAGGTGTCAGGTTAGAGAGAAACAAAAGATCACGCATTCAAGCTGTTGGCCTCTTCATTTTGGACCTCACAATTCGCCTTTATTCTTACCGTGATTAGGAAAGTTTGACAATCACTTCATATATTATTTCCATCTCGAGTCAACTTGTCATTCCGGCTTGATACGGTCGCCCTTAGAACATTACAGCCAACGAAGCAGGAAACGGTCCATTATATCTGTACCAACGTTTTAGAATACTTAATTAATTTGAACTTGGGGAAGGGGATAATTACTTGTAATTTGGCTGTTCTAGAGGAATGACACTTCCCTCAACGCGACACTGAGGCTTAATCCTTCCTCCCCACTTGTCGAGAAGGGAGAGATGTTGATGGGGGTGGGAAATCCTAATTAATGAAGTAGCTGTTTATTAAGAGAGGCTGAAACACAGGCGACAGCTGAAGCTGGGTTGTGTAAACCGAGCGGGGAACCGCGTGATTGATGTACCCCGAATTGAGCATAAACACATCTCAACAGGTGCCAAGATGGCGTAAGCTGGGTAAACTGAAACAGTGGAAATACTGAGACACCAAGGCATACGCGGATCGTACGTGGCAGGACACAACTTGCTTCAGTAGAATTTATGAATTATAACGGAAGATTTAAATATTATTTTGAGAATTCCGTTACATCTGTAGAGGTATTTAGCTCGAATGAAGTGAGAGTGGGGAAGTGGTCGTGGACTATGTGAAGGTAGATTTACTGCTTCGACCACCCAACTCTGTGTGTGTGTATTATGTGCAAACATTTGTACGTCTCTGGCCATTTCAGCAGTTGCAGCATTTAGATAATGCATAATAAAACACGATGCTGTATCGAAATTCTGAACGGACTTGCATGTTACTCAGTTTGAACTTGCCAAATTTTCTAATAGATGAATATGAGGATATAGCCTGTAAACATTAATTATCCTGTTTGTTTTTCATGTTCCCTTTAGTGCAATAAAATATGAGTGTTTTAAAACAAAGTGCCCCAGAAAAATGTTTGAATGTCATATTTGATAGTGAATTTAAGGTGACTGTGAGCTGGCAAGTGGCGAGCCAGTGAATGCATACAGAGTTTGGTGGATGAACCTTTTAAGAAAGTCCACTTGGTTGACAGCGAGAATGATAGGTAGATGGCAGATGTATCATAGGGAGGAGATAGTGTGTTAGGATGGGAGGTGAATCAAACCAGCTTAGAATCATGCCCAATGGCAGTCTTTGGTATTAATGTTGTTGAATCTAGATCACACAGCCACAGCTAAAGGGAAAGCTGTTCTTTGATTAATTATGCACCATACCGTAAAGACGAACGAGGTAGTGGAGATACAATACCACGCTTGTTTTCTTGGCATTAGTTTAACGTGAGCTTTTAGCTTCACGCTACGTCTGCTTTAACGTCTGAGAAATAGTCCCCTTTGGCTCGGATGCTTAGTGGGGCTCGATAGTCCGCCTGTGATTTATTGGAAATCTTTGATTATATTGTGTAAGAAATATACACGTCCCGTGCTGAATGATTTTCCTGTTATCTGTCACGTGAGATCACCACCACATTGGAAAATCTAAACCCCTTGCTCGTTTATGTACAGTGAATTGTATCCTGAATTAGTAGACAGGAGTCGACGGTGGCATCCTTATGTGGTGTTCGAAAATGTACGAACTTGTAAAACGATTTGCGTTTGACATAATCATACTTATGTATTGTTTCTTCTTTATGTAATCGTAACGATCACGTTTTTTGAAGCGGAGGAAGTTCAGGATTTGCATAGTAACTGTGGGAATCACAGAACATTTTAGTGTCCACGAACAGCTAATTTTCCTTCGTAATAAACCAACCAGTCGTATGCAGGCACTGACAACACCCCTGTTCATCAAATCTTCGAATTTCTCAATGACAAAGATAGTAAAATGTACCCGGAAGTGACGTATCTCACGCATAGTGTAATTATGATAGGTTCGTTTAAAAAACAACACGTGAAGGATGTGACATCATGTTGCTATCAGCGTTCATCAGATGCTTGTATTAGCAGAGTTGAAACGTTAGCTAATTGCTGTTAGTGTCACTGAGAGAGGGGATCCTCTCACTCACGTAATTGCCAGATGGCAGCAGCATCGTCACCACATCCTTAATTAAACAATTGACTGTTAGGGAGCGTGATGAGTTGACTGCGTCATTAATATGTAAATTAGTCGCGTTTCCTTTAATGCGTCTCCAATCTTCATTCCCTATTGTCAAACCGGATATTTCTAGAAAAAATTACGGTTTAATGCGTGAAGTGATCTGAGTCCACCGCATTTTAATCTCATGCGCAGTTACGTATTCATATTGACAAAATCAACATCAGTAAGTGGTCAGTGGACAAATACAAACGTTGTGAGCCCGGGTGTCAATTTTGATGTTTAATCACTGAAGAAATTCGTTTTTGTCGATCTCCTACCATGATCGGAACGGACAACTCTGTCCCCTGTAACCATTGCAATTTGAGCCATATTCACACGTGCTAAGTGACATAAACTCCAAGGGAAGTGAAGAAGTTCGCGGCAGCACACAGTTGTCACGAAATTGACAGAAGCGCTTGAAAATTCTAAAAAAGCCAGAGTTAGATACTCCACGATCATCGACATAATTATACCATGGTGCATAATAATATATGTACTAGCTCCGTTGAAAAGGCTCTTGGTGCTTGTTCTTGTGTAAAAAGTGTTTTCTTCTCTTGCTTCCAGCAGCTGGAGGTGGCGGAAGTGGAGGAGGGTTGTTCGAACCATCTTCTGGACACTGTGGTGGCGGTGGCGGCGGCAGCGGGGGAACTCCCATCGCTGTGCTCCAGCTCCCAGCGACGACACTTCAAGCGGTCGGGGAGGCCTCGGCATCCTGTGAACCAGGAGTGTCCACCGTTCGAATCCCAGCTCCTGCAGACGCCGACACATCCCCGCTGATGCCATCGCAGGCCGCATACTGCCGCGAGGTAGAATCCGAGGTGGGGTTCGTCTGCAAGAAGTGTCGACTGGCCTTTCCGGGAGAAACTGCTCTCCTGGGTCACCAGCGGGTTGCATGTTACCCGGGTATATCCACCGACTTACGCGGGGCCGTCCGCCTGGTGCAGCTCCATTATGAGTGTAAGCTGTGTTCCTCATCTGCTGAAAGAGAAAGGATGTCCTCGCTGCACGACTTCAAGCGTCACTGCGAGACCGACGCTCACATCTCGAGGTTCGGGGCTTCTTCACAGCCCCCCTGCACCCTTCCGACAACCACTTCACCGCTGCCAGCCAAACACCCCACCCCCAGCCCAAGGCTCCCTCCCTCACAGCACCAGCAGCCTCCGGCAGCGTCGCTGAGTCCTTCCGCTGGTCTGTCCCACGAGATGGAAGACGTCGTGAACCAGATCACCTTGCTAGCGGCACGGGCAGCCGCGGAGAGCACAGCACCTATCCAGGGCCCGGGCGGAGCCCCCACTGACTCCAATGCCAACATCGCTGGCAGCAAGGACACCAGCGACTTCTGTCACCCGGCGGAACCCAAGCGGAATAAGCTACTGCAGCTGCACGCGGGTGATGGACCGCAGTCAGTCGCGGTGCCCAGCACTGGGCAGTAAGGAAAACGTGTATTAAGTACTAGCCTCATTTAAAAGAGCGAGGCCCATGTAACTTCCTTGCTGGCTGCCCGTTTGAGCTGGCTGGTGGCGGAGTGTGTACTTTACCACAAACAATGGACTCTCACTCTTGTTTTGCACTTGCAGGGTGTACTTGAGATAGTACAGGTAACTGGCGACGTCACACAGCCAGGAAGTTACATCGTCTCCCTGCAGTGCGCTGCGCGGTAGTGCACGACACTACACAGTATGACGGGATTTGAGGGTTTCACTGGCACGAAAGTTTGTATTGTGTGATCTTCTGGTTTGCAACGCCTCATAGCCATGCAGTAGTTGGCTGCCTGCATGAGCAGGGAGTGCACTTTTCTTAATGGCGCTAGTGTTTGTACGTGGACGGTTCAGGGGAGAGGAGAATGCAGTGGTGATCTGTCTGTACAGTTATCAGCCAGCGTATGTCTCCTGACAACTCACGAAGTCGCCACATTCATTCCTGTGTCAGCTGAGGAATCTGCTGCCCCCATCTTTAAGGTTGAACTGAGTACAGCTGTAAGGCAGGTGCTGTCCATCCACCTGAAAACATTAATTCGCGTTTAGAATAGGCGTATCCTTATGCACTGACATTTCTGCACTTTGTCGGACCATCTTTGAAGTTCGTTACAGTAGATTCGCGATTTGATTATATTTCTGGAACCAGATCTGAACGGTCCACACGGGATATACTCTTCCCTGAGTGTGCGGTATGGAATTGGCCCACATTGGTACACTGGACAGACGGACCGTTCTGTGGAAACCCTCATCAAACGGCACTGTTGATATATCTGTCTTCCTCATTCAGAAATCAAGTCTTCATACACTTAACGAAAATAGAAAAGGTTGCACTCCGGTTTCGTTATTTTCAAAACAAAGAAAAGCGGGGGATAGAGGCAGCTGCAATATCCGTGCCAAAACATAACGGCAGGAAAGAAGAAACATCCATCCGACTTTCACCTCCAGACCAACGCCCAGTAAGATTGCTGGACACGATGGGATAAGTAACGGAAAAGACTCCATAAATATTTCATCCGTTGTTTACGCCGTATTTCAGACTTTCCATTTTTCAGAATAAAACGACGTTACTAGTTCTGCTCCTCAAAAAGCAGACTGACAACTTCATAACGAGAGAATATGCAGAGCACGTGAAGTATTTTGTATAAAAGGACTTATTCACAAAGTACGCACAGTTGGAATGCAAGGCTGTCTTCGTCTTTTTAATAATAAATAAATAAAGCTGTCCCACTATACGCCATGCAGGCGCTTGGGGGGAGAGGAGATATAGCTCCTACTCATTCTTGACCTCGGCACTAGATGGGAGTGAGTGGTCAGCATCACGCCCCGGCCGGCTTTGCCCCCGGGAAAGGACCCCGGTACCCATTGTAGAGGACGAAGGGTCAGAATTAAAATGGAAGGACATTTTTAGAATGGGAACGAATAAAAAAAGATGTTTCCCAGTCTTTTGTCTTGATCCCATTACTAAACTACTAAACATTGCATTTGAAGCAGACATACCTAGAATGACGAAAGATGCAGCTATCGCATTTTGCAGGTGACGGATGCATGGACATAGCACAGAAATATCAAATATGCATTTTATAAATATTGAAAAATTGCCTTACAAGTGCAAAATAAAAAGTTTTTTATTTGGGGTGCAAGTGCACTGGAATCTTCAGAGTCCGTGCCGGTTTTGAGTCAGTCGTTGGGTGGGGGCCCAAAAGGGCACTGTCACTGATCGGACCCTTTATTCGTGACTGCTTGCGTCAGGCAGTCACTAACAATCTCACAACAGAAGCTTGACGACCACCGCAAAACAGCTGCCAACCCCGTGTCCTGTAGGAGAGAGAATTTCCTTCGTCATCTTTACTTACTTCCACCCCGAAGATGAGGACAGCACTATTATCCGAATCAGTGATACATGACTATGGTGTCGCAACTCAGAAGGTCACAATCTAAGCATTATAGATTATTTGCGTAAAAATTACAGTCTTAAATGTTGATGAATGTCGTGATAGGATAAATTGATAATAGACACCGCAGAAATTAATTGCTATTGTGATTGTTACATACTAGTAATAACAATAGTGTCAGTGGCCGAAGTTCGATCACACAGACGTTTAATTAATCAGTGTGCCTGTATTGTGTTGTCGTGCAGTCTCGCCAGAGACTTTTAGTGGAAACCAAAGAATAGGTCGGGAATTTGTCGTGTAAGATGGAAGCTTTGCTGTTAAGTGGGCGGTGGACAGATGACACGCCCATGATGGCAGAAGAACGTCTGCGGGCACTAAGGAAATCGCTCGCATGTATTACTAAACTTTGTTACATTAACATGAAACCTCGCGCTGCTCATTGGATGCATAATTATGATACAATGAGGGGAAAACGAAACTCCAAGGCTCCACAATTAATAAGCAATTACTCATCACAGTAAAAATAAGAAAGACATATTTTCCACGTCACAAAAGCGTGTGTATTATTTTCCGAATAAAATTAAATGTGAAGCCGGTGTAGTTGAAAGAGTTAAATCGTGTTTGTTGTTTGTATAGAACGTAGAGTTAGCTTGTACGACATTACACAATTTTGGATGTGTTCTTTGAATCTGGAAGATAAATAGATTTTTTAACACGAAAGTAACTGATTCAGAGCGTGTAAATGAAGGTTAAATTCCTTGATTTGCAGATTGAGATATTCCTAACAATTTGTCCTAAAGAATAACCAAGTCATAGTTACTGTTGATTATAAATAAAGTGGATAGTTTTGGAATAAGTTTTTATTAAAAACAGAGAACTCACCTTGTCATGAAAGGAATAATTTATTTATGGAGAACTGCGGAAGAAAATGCTGTGTTAGGGATTTCCCTGTCTGGATGTAGAGTTGTGTGTGATAGCCACAAGATGTCATTATTAGAGGCTTTAACTGATAACTGTCTGCACTCTTCTTTTTAAGATTCGTTACTATTGTGCAAAATGTTGTTCGTTTAAAGAAAATCAGAGTTGATTAAAATGAAAACACTTGTGGTGTTTTAAATCCTTTGTCAACAGGAGCTCTGTGTAGAATTTTAAAATCAGTGTTCCCTATTGTTTGTTTTTGAAATAACGAAGGAATACGACAAACGTGTCCAAATCATGTGGTGCCATTCTGTTGATGGTAGCCATGTTTTTTTCTTAAGCACAAGTACGAGTTCCTGAACAAAATAACACACGGCTGAGTGATGAGAATGGCTGTTACAGAGGACGCCAAGAGATTGGTGTTGCTGCAGCCTGTGATGCTAATATTGCCATGTTAAGACTTCCTATTGCGAACATCCTCTGGATGGACTCTCTGAGCCTTTCCACCAACAGCAAAGAGGACGCCTGTATATAACAATGATTATTATTATATAATAATTGCGAACAAACGAATCAACTTAGAAAGAATGAAAAATAAGTATTTGACTGTCACAAAAGAGATACAAGAAACCTTAAAAACCACACCTCGCTGCTTTTATATAAAGTTTGGGAATTAACAGACAACAAACAGAAAATCATTATATTATAAGTGATTAGCTTATTTGTTTGTGTGTATGTCCATTTTTCGCTGGGTGTAATATTGCCATGTTATGACTCCACACAGAATGTGAAGGACACGAACCAAAAGAGAAACTATTTTGTTTTTCCATTTTTTGGGTTCTGTTTAGCGCTACTGCTAGGGTCCAATATATAAAATTGTGTGTTTAAAAAAAACCGAACATAAAACTGGAGGGGAGGTTGTTTTACACAGAGGTGGCGTCATGTGAAAACAGACACTCGTTTCTAAGAGCGAGTTTTCTTATACCACATTTTCACAGCCTCTCTTGTCACCTCCTCATTCTGTCTCTCTGTATTGTCACTTCTGGGCCACCTCGCTGTGGAGGCGACTCCCCATGGTCTTGGCATGTTTCCTTAAAGAAATAGGGAGTCGCTTCCAGCGATCACGCTCCTCGAAACTTGTGGCTGGGAACAAGTTCGGGTGGGCAGAAATTATAAAAAAATATCGTACTCGAAGAGGGGAGGTTTAAGAGAATGTGAAAGCAGTTGGAGCCGATGGTGGTTAAACATTATGACGAGACTTGACGGCCGTGTAATTGCCGATGTTGGTCTTCTGGGTTGTAATTCCGTGTGTACTTGTAGATAAATACCCAAGTTTGGGAGGAACATACTGGCCGAACCTCTGAAGGTGAAGCCAGTATGTTTCTTCAAAACGTTTGTATATGCCTACAAGTTTACAAGGCGTAACGATCCAGAAGACCAACATCGACATCATTTGATGATTAATGACCCAAGAGCCATCTGTAGCGTTGTCCTATTTGGAGGTTTAAGGGAAAGACTCGGGTTAGAAGTATCACACGCCACTGGGACTAAAATGGGCATTGTTCCTTAAAAGATAGACCTTGTGTCCCTTTCGGGTGAGGGATGCAAGTGCTCCGAAAAGTAGACGAGTGGTGTCTTTTAGCCGGTTCAGCTCTTTGTAGTCCGTGGGGTCTTTAGCTAGCAAAAGCAGCAGACTTTTCAACTTATGGCTGTAACAGACAGCCACCAGGGCTACTCAACCAACTCTCTGAAAGTACGTTATCCCAGCACCCAAGGTTCCTATCTTTAGCTAACATTACTAAGGTTCCTGTTTATGAATGCTTTTTCTATAATAATAATAATAATAATATTAATAAGATATTAATAATTGTACTATTAATAGTTATGTGTGTGCCGAGGTACGTTGTTGGTGTAAACTACATCTTTAACAATAATGGGGGTGTGTGGAGGTCGGGGAGAGGGACCGCCTGGAAACCGAGCAGTTTCTAAATATTTATGAGCAGAGGAATTAAAGAGTCTGCAGGAAAACAATTCTTATATTAGGATAAGAACTAAGCGCAAGACTTGCGATGCGAATTTATTCGAAGATGTGGCATCCTGCATGGTTTTCTCACGCCTCCCGACCTTCGACCTCAGGGGCTCACTAACAAAACACACATGACTGTCTCTCCTGCTGTTCCTCAATGCTATGTCCTTTCCTTTTTGAGTTTTTGAAGTCGTATTTATATTAGAGGTAAAAAGAAAGTGTTTTAAAAAAAGAAGAGCTTTATGAAGGGTCTTCTTTCATATGTTGGTGCCATTTCCTTGGTAGAGAAGATACTTATTAAAATATAATTATTATGATTGAATATGGCTTTCAAAAAGTAGAAGTATATGTATAAATTTTTTAATCACATCTATCTTGCCCCAAAAAATATTTAAAGTTTTTGCACAAACCAAGTAATTACGTAATTTTAAAAGAAAGAACAGTTGTTCAAAAGAAAAGTTCTTTTACACTGGTTATACACCCAGTAAAATTGGTTCCTAAATATATCTAGCCAGATCGTAACCAAGTGCACTGTGCTCTCTAGGTCACTTTGCTGACAAAATGATCGCCATATTTTTTTCCCCTGATAACCAGTGGTCGTTCTCTGATGGAAGTGTTGTGATTCTATTCTTGCGCCATCTGGCGACAAAAAATGAAAGCCGCGTTAGAATCCCTGACAATGGAACAGCTGCCTGTCGGGAAAGCTGGATGTATCCGTGGCACTAGCAATGCTTATAATAATAACGTACAAAATACGAAACCTCGCCCAATTTAAGTAATATTTGTAGTAAGTGTACGTATGTGGATATTATTATAAAAATTGTTTTTCTTTGTTCACAATTTTTTTATGTAAAGATATTGAAGACGGTGTGGTGAAGATGCATGTAAAATGCAACTGAATATGGTTCCTAGTAGATTTCATATCTTTGAAGATAAAATAATTAAAGAAAAACTAATTGTGCAGGGGGGCAAACTGCCATCACTATAAAACACTACCTCTTGTTGAATCAGTCGGCTGAGCGATGCTGCATATTTAACGACCTATGAACACATGTTGTTGTTTATGAAGAAAAAAAACACACTGAACTTAACAAAAATGGCAGCATAGAAGAAGAGCTGTAAAGAAAATCATATCATGGGTACACGCTATATCGTTCTCCCCTCTTCTTGCTTTAATTTTGTTTTGTATTCTGGGTACGTTTGTTTATCTCTCAAAAATGAATTGGAATCGCGAGTTGCTACTTTCTGCAGGAAGTCACATTCCATCTGCCGAACATGTTATGCTCATATATTTTCTTTATGTTAATTCAGAGAGTGTATCGTGTCTTTTGTTTCCGTAGAAGCTAAGAAGTAATGTCTGAATTAGCCAACTGAAGGAGGGAAGTCTCATTTATTGATAAGGCTAGTTGCTGTCACTCAACTCTTCATGTTGTGTCGTGTTCGTGAATTTTCATTTTATGAGCTACTG